CCGCTTTAGTGCGTGGTAACTGTAGGTGTGCTAGAAGTATTGCTCCCTAAGGGGAGCAGTGCTGGCTACAATACTATCAGATGTGTATTTTCATAAATCAGACGTAAATGGATTCTCTCCTCGAAACTGGTGGGAAGAAATTGTGGGTGCAATATATGTTTTGTGTACGTGTTTAATTTCATCCATACCTTCCAACTCGGACACCTGTTAAAAGTATGTGTTTCCTACAACTAAAGAAATAAAAGCGCCGGAAATTCTGTCTTCGATCTTTTCCTTACAAAGAGGAGCCTAACCGTCTTGTCCCACCATTGAATATGTCTACTTAGCTCAAGCACACAATTCATCCATAAATTGCATTGTCAACAACATTAAACCCACTTAACGAGGAAAATTTGCACTGATTCCACCATAAAGAATCTAACCACATGAGAAACACTCAGGAATAACCAACCATCTGAGATACACTTAGGAATATCATGTGCAATACATCTTTTTTCTTTGCATGAATTTTTTTTATTTTTTTGTAATAAAAAAGAGTAAGGAGTACCATTTTGATTATTTCATTTCAAAATGATTTTTCAACACGAAAATGAAATAATACAATGTATTATTATAGAGGCATTATTATTATATACTCACTCTGTCCCAATATAATTGTCTTTAATCTTTAATCTATTATAGTACAACAAAGTATATTTCTGATAGGCAGCAAATTCACCCGTCGTTGTCTCATCAACGTGCCACGTGTCGCCATTTCCCTCGTCGAAGAACCTGAGGTGGTCCAACCAGTCACCGTCAAACACCCGGACCCACTTGACAGTGAGACGGGGCGAGCCCGAAAACTACGTCACGTCATGCGAGCACCCCCTCCGCATGTGTACCGTCTCCCCGGCCTGGAGGCTTCGACCTTTCCACCACGCCCCCGTCCTCTTTCCCTTCCCGTCGCTCGCTTCCCCCCTACCCGAACCTTCTCGACTCCCTCTTCGCATGGCCGACGCGAAGGCCGAGGCGGCGAGGCAGGCGCCGCAGTCCTCCCAGGAGGAGGAGGAGGACTGGAAGGAGGCCGAGGGGGACGTCGAGGTCGCGGACAGGTCCACGAGCAATGGCGGCGGCGGCGGCGCCGGCGAGGGGATCACGGACAGGCCGATCCGGGTCTACGCCGACGGCATCTACGACCTCTTCCACTTCGGCCACGCGCGCTCGCTCGAGCAGGCCAAGAAATCGTGAGAAATCCCTCTCCCCCCTTGGGCTATTTCGGTTCGATCTGCCCCCTTGCGTTTCTGGCAGGAATTGGGGTCTGACACCGTTTATCATGGTTGGCTGCGGCGCGGATCGCGCCTAATTAGGATCACCGGTTGGCTCTAGCGCGGGGATTGCGCGAGGAAGTTGTTTGATTGCAGTCCGTTCCTATTTGAAACTCTTCGCGATTACCAGTTCAGGAACGGCCTCAACTTGTTGTTATGTCCAACGTCTGATTTAGTGGATCATTCTTGTGATTAGGTTTCGAAGGCATGCGCTTATTGTGGATACTAAGTTGGTTGATGAGGACTTGGTTTGTCTGTGCCCCTGTTTATTTGGGCAATAGATTTACGGTTTGGTGGAAAATGGGGCTCCATTTATGCTTCCATCATGTTGGGGACAAGATTTAGCTGTATTGGTATGTTTTACCTAACGTGATGTGACTCGAGACTCTCGTATTGCTTGCCATGTAATGGATCATTCAGCGGGAGGGCTCCTATTTGGTAGATCCCCCCCGAATAATGCAGTGTGATTTGGCTTTATTTGCCCACCTCTTTTTTTTCCCTTTTATTTTTCGCATCATGTACAATAATCCTGCTCCACAATAATCATTCTCCATTGACATGGACTGGTGTAGTTGTCTGTAGGGTTTGGGCTCTGATATTGTTCCTCTCAGACAACTTTCCCTTTATGGTGGTTGGCATCTTCCACTTCTTTTAAGTCGGCAATGAAATGGAGTTTGGTTTCTTGTGTCCTGTTAGATGCCAGTCCTACCTTTCCTAGTGAAATAAGTCTGCTCAAATCAGTATATAATTTTTGATGCGCCCTCTGTTCATTTTGTATTCTCTTTTTTACCCTCTTCATTTCGCCCATCACAACATCCATTTTCCATTAGTGGACATTTTATGTATAACTATTGAGAATTCTGCATTTGAAAACACTAATGGGAAGTCATGTGTGCCAACGGTCACCCTTTTTTCTACAATTCCGCCAACAACAAAAAAAAAACTCACATATATGCAGCATCTTTTTCCTCAAAATTTCAGTTTGTACATGATGTGATGTTAGTATACTCATGGCATGCACACAGAGGGTAAACTATCGTTTTGTGTTAGCTTATGGGGAAATACCTGATTTTCTGTGACACCTTCTATAAGGAATCTTGCACTTGCAGGCATGCTCTGTTTCTTAAGTATGAAGCTGTGGTTTAATCTGCAAATGTCATACTAGTAATCTTGCTGGACAGTTTTTTTTTATCTAGTAGTATGCCTAAGGTTCCGTTCTACTATTGGTGCCATAGATTAAATGCATTAACTGCGGACTGGTTTTACATTCTTAATGGTTATCCTGAGCATTCTACACAAATTAACTTACTGGGGCTGTTAAATGCGAGAAAATGTCCTGACACTGAACTGTCTGTTGAACTGTAGGTTCCCTAATGCATATCTTCTTGTCGGGTGCTGCAATGATGAGTTGACACATCAATACAAAGGAAGAACTGTCATGACAGAGGACGAGAGATATGAATCACTTCGCCATTGCAAGTAATCGTGTATCATTCTTTACTTCATCCAATATAATCCATGATCATTGTACATTTCTTCAAAAAAATAGCATGCTAATATGATTTACTATTTTATATTCCAAGGTGGGTTGATGAAGTCATTCCTGACGCTCCGTGGGTAGTAACAGAAGAGTTCTTGAACAAGCATAACATCGATTTTGTTGCACATGATTCTCTGCCGTAAGCATTCAGTTCGAAAGACCTTGTTATTTCTGTGATGCAGTAAATATTTCTTATTTTCATTCTTTTTTTGTGAGGACCACAGAAAATGTTTCTGTGTTTCTGATGGCTTGATATTCTACACACTGAATGATCTAAACTTTTAAATCTCTTAACTCATCTATATTCTATCTTCCGTATTTGAATCTACACAGGTATCATGATGCTAGTGGAGCTAGTAATGATGTCTATGAATTTGTGAGTCTTATGTTTCAAATTGAGCTATTCAAATATAATCTCAAATAAATTGTGTTAACAGACACCAATTTTTACTTTGGATTTCTGTGACTAACATCATCTTGTTTTATCAGGTAAAAAAGCTTGGTAAATTTAAGGAGACCAAGCGCACAGAAGGAATATCAACCTCAGACATTATAATGAGGATTGTTAAAGATTATAATGAGTATGTTATGCGCAATCTGGCCAGGGGGTACAGCAGAAATGATCTTGGTGTCAGCTATGTCAAGGTATGCAATATCAACCTGATGCTTTAGCAAAACTTTACTTATACAAAGTCCTGTTGTTGGATTGTACTACAGTACCACTGCATTATGCTGGCTAGCTGAGCCCTTATATATCTTATTATCAGGAAAAACGACTAAGAGTTAATATGGGATTGAAAACCCTCCGTGACAAAGTGAAGCAGCACCAAGAAAAAGTAGGGGAGAAGGTACTTGTATTCAGCTTCATCTTAATTTATGTTGAAGTATAACTAATTTTTATGATTGATTAACTGTAACTAGGCAATGTTAGCTTCGCTCTGTATCCATTGGTTGTCTGGTGCAGGGATGAGTGCCCCATGTTTCTTTACTATTTTGTCACTAATTAACCTACTTGTTGTGTGTTAGCCTTATGACATTTGATTGGGTATAGTTGACCCGCATGTCCGAAACTCTTGGCTAGATTAACGTTTTGAAGTTCATCAAAGTAGTTTTGGATTTTTGGTTGACTTCAGTTGTTTAGCGGAGGATTCCTAACACATATCATCCTTTTCTTTGATGTGTTTTGGACTAGATAGCACTTCTATGAAATTATGCTTTAATGCGTAGAAGATTGCACAGCTGTGATTGGGCAAGTCCATAGCTTTGCATGCAAAGCTAAAAACATTAGCTTCAGCCATGTCTCACACCATGTGTATTCTAAAGGTTACAATGATGATAAATTGACAGTGGTACATGGCTGTTACTTAAGTTTTATATGTATTATACACAAATCTTTGCATTTATCTAGTTCAACTAATCTTGTGGTGGTCAAGACTTCGATATCTGATGCGTAAGTATTATTTTTATCATATCTGACACTCCGTACATTAGTTGTACTCTGTATATATCCAGTATAGCACTGCAAAATGAAAACACTTCACTACCCCTTCTCCTACTTCCGGTTTCCATGTTCATCTCTTCATCTGATAATTTGGATCGATGAACTTAGCCTTCTCAAGTTTACCTGTTCATACATTCTGAGAGAAGCATGTTGATATTTGCAGTGGAGTACAGTGGCAAAACTCCAGGAAGAGTGGGTTGAAAACGCAGATCGCTGGGTTGTTGGTTTTCTAGAGAAATTCGAGGAAGGTTGCCATTCAATGGTTAGTTACCTTCGCCTGTTAATAGTTTACTGCTGCTCTCCTCCAATAGGAGGTCCATGCCCATATATGCCTAAATCTAAACTACTTCCCAGGGAACTGCCATCAAGGAAAGAATCCAGGAAAGGCTGAAGGAGGCGCAGTCTAGGGACTTCAGCCTTCTACAATACGACAGTGACGACTTTGACGACTTTGAAGAAGAAGACGATGAAGTTGCCAAAGATGCCAAATACGTGAAAGAATAGCGGCACTGTAAAATTTTATGTCAAAGTATAATACGGGCATGCAATGCATGTTAACAGTCTTCATCAACCGCAATCCTTCACCATGTATCTGTCCCTTTGATCGTGAGCTTCACTGTCAAGGTAGATCTGCGTGCTGTGTTTGTAGCTGTACTTGATGTTTTTCTAGGCAGTAGCGTACGCTCTTGTAATAGTTCTACTGTGAGGCATAACACTGTTTATTTGGAGGATATCGATTTCAATTCAAGTTCTTATTAAGAAGACCTGTTTCATTTTGTAATTACACTTGTTTATTTTCCATTCTTGGCATCAGACTCTGAGGTGGTACTTTTTGTGTGATTCATCCTTTGAATCGGTAGCTTACTCTACAAATGTTGGATTCAGTTAAAAAAAAGAGAATGTTGTTTGGATTCCCTGCGCCTCGCCGTGGCGTCTTCACCCTCCCTTGAAGAAAACTCTTGGGAGGAGGCAGAAAACTTGGGTCCTAGTAAATGAGTTTTCTTGTGAAGCAAGGAGGCTCGAGCCGCTCCCTTTTAAATCCCTGCTGCTTGGATTGATCCAAAGAGTTGGCCGTGATCTTTCCTCCCGGGAGTGGGTTAACTCCATCAATCCGGAGAGCCATGGATTCATGCTTGCTTCCACAGAGGTGGTAGCGTCTTCCTCGCTCTCGTTTTGCCCCGCAGAGCAAGGCATTTGGTGTTGTTATAAGTCAACCCAAGAACCATCCGATCCTCTTCTTCTATGCCTCCGTGCGTCGCCGGCTGCCATGTCGCTGCTGTCGAGGCTGCGGCTGGTGACCGTGGACGTGACGGGGACGCTGATCGCCTACAGAGGGCAGCTCGGCGACTACTACTGCACGGCGGCCAGGTCCGCCGGGCTGCCGTGCCCCGGCTACGCGCGCATGCACCAGGCCTTCAAGGCCGCCTACGCCGACATGACGGCCAAGCACCCCTGCTTCGGCCACGCCTCCAGGATGCCCGACCATCGCTGGTGGAGGACGTGCGTCAGGGACTCCTTCCTCAGGGTAAGGTGAAGGTCGGTGCTCTGCCGTGCCCTGTTCGTTTCTCCAAGAAACTCCGAAGCGTGAGCAAATCTCGTGCGTGTAGAATGTGCAACTACTCTATTCTGATGCTCTCTCGGCCTTTTTCTCTTGGTTGTTGGTATGTATGCTGCAGGCAGGACACGAGTACGATGATGCCACATTTGAGCGGATCTTCGGGCAAATCTACGCCGCCTTCGGCTCCCCCGCCCCGTACTCGGTGTTCCCCGACGCGCGGCCCTTCCTCCGGTGGCTGCGCGGCGAGGGGATCATGGCCGGGGTCGTCACCAACGCGGACTGCCGCTACAGGGACGTCGTCCTGCCCGCGCTGGGGCTGAACCAGGTCGGCACTCGGCAGGCAGCCGCCCTCGACCGCCGTCTCGCTCGCGCTGCCGGAAGCTATACATTGCTCAGTTCTGTTTCTGATTGATGTGCGCAGGGGTCCGAGTGGGACTTCGGGGTGTTCTCGGGCGTCGCCGGCGTCGAGAAGCCCGACCGGCGGATCTACGAGATGGCGCTGGAGGCGGCCGGGGGCGTGGCGCCGGAGGAGGCGCTGCACATCGGCGACAGCATGAGCAAGGACTACGCGCCGGCCCGGGCCGTCGGGATGCACGCGCTGCTGCTGGACAGGTTCGGGACCGCTGATGCCGAGAGGTGGCGGCGGTCCGGCGCGGTGGTGCTCCCTGACCTCGTCTCCGCCCGGGAGTGGCTCATCCGGGATCCCCCTGCCGCGCATGGAGGAACCGACAACGCCTGGGCGGAGGAGTGATTACCTGAAAAATAGGGTGGATAGTTGAGGCATGAGTGAACATTGCTGGAAGTGTATGAAATCCAGGGGACAAAAGAACAGGTCCTCGGATGATACAGTATTCGTTGATGAGATTGCCAACTATTGCAATGTACTGTAAGCAAGAGTGCAAGTTAAACAAGTTATTCAGAGTTGATGCGCGATGCCAGATCTCTCCAAGGTGCTTACAGGAAAGAGAGTGTGCATATTCATAAGGTTGAGTGTATGTACGTATTTATAAGCATATGTTTCTGTACTATGTTTTAAAAGAAAACCGCCAGTCGGCTGGTTCGTGCTCAAGATCAACCGGGGCGCCGATGATCCGATCAAGCATTTTGTGAATGTTCGATCATGCCAACGCATCTCCCCCTCGCCTCACCACCCATAGTCTTCCCCACGTGCCTCATGGTTCCTCATTTCCCCGCGCACACCGTCGTCCATGTCTCCCTCGCATGCCCTTGTATCTCACTCACCCCCCTCACGCACGCGCGCAACACCGACGAAGTGGCACTGACACCCTTGCAGCACCGACAACGCACATGTGCAACATCGTGCGCATCATTGGGTGCCCCGGTGCGATTGCTCATCTGCAGCATGATCTGTTGCCTGCAGCACCAACCGCGGTCTATTGTGCTGGCATTGACGCCCATGCCCAAGCGGCACAACTCATGTTGCAGCACATCTAGTGACCCCCCCTGTCGGTGTCAAAACAGGCAGATCTCGGGTAGGGGGTCCCGAACTGTGCGTCTAAAATTGATGGTAACAGGAGACAGGGGACACGAAGTTTTACCCAGGTTCGGGCCCTCTTGATGGAGGTAATACCCTACGTCCTGCTTGATTGATATTGATGAATGCGAGTATTACAAGAGTTGATCTACCACGAGATCGTAATGGCTAAACCCTAGAAGTCTAGCCTGTATGACTAAGGTATTGAGTATCCTTTCCGGACTACACCCTCCGGTTTATATAGACACCGGGGGATATAGGGTTACATAGAGTCGGTTACATAAGAGGGAATTTGCATATTCCGTCACCAAGCTTGCCTCCCACGCCAAGGAGAGTCCCATCCGGACACGGGTGTAGTCTTCGGTCTTCGTATCTTCACAGCCCATCAGTCCGACCCATAGATAACAGGCCGGACGCCCGAGGACCCCTTAGTCCAGGACTCCCTCAGTAGCCCCTGAACCTGGCTTCAGTGACAAGGTATCCGGCGCGTAGTGCTGTCTTCGGCATTGCAAGGCGGGTTCCTCCTTCCGAACTCCCGAATAGTCTCTAGACGAATTGATCATGTCCGGACCTGTAACACACACCGCACACAACCGCAGAGAGAATATAATAACACATAAGTCCAATCTGCTGACAACTTTAGCAATGCGACGTCACGCCTGTCCGGTTATAATTTCAAACCGTTTTTCGCCCCATGTTTCGAGACGCGGTTGTCATTGACACATCTTTTCAAAGCAGAGATCGTGTCCCCTTGTTACGGGATTCTCATCAATACGAGCGTGGGTGACCCAACCATGTCGTTTACACAACCCTTGGGAGCAG